TGTGTGTGTGTGTGTGTGTGTGTGGCCAGCTCAGCCCACCAGGGGGCGGGGCTGGCTGGCATGTGGTGCTGGGGGTTTGAACCGCGGTCCCTGTGCTTTGCTAAGCTTGTTCTAAGTGGGTGCTTTAGACCACTGAGCCATCTCACCAGCCCTGAAACTAAATTCTTATACTGGTTATATTTTAATATTCTTCATCTTTGTTTCTTTGCAAGATAATAGTTGGAGAAACAGCTGTGTTTTGCCTACAACTTGCCACGAGAGATTTTGAAAATCAGGAGAAAACTATTTTAACTGGAGACTGTTGCTATATAAACCCACTGGTGCGTCGTACTGTCCGATTTCTAGGTATGTGTTCCTTCAGTTGTTTTATTCATGCTGAATGCATATTTTTACTCTACACAAATATTAGTTATAATTTCTATGGAATATTTCAATTTTATTTTATAAATGAATATCACATATGACCTTATCAGTCACATTGCAATGTCTGACTTTAAGAATCATTTCCATGATAAAAAAATGACCTCAAACATTTGAATATTTAATATCTTTAAGAAACTAATAATTGCATGATTAAAATAAATGACTTATTATGTTGATAAAATTTCAGAAATAATGCTTAAGGAGAAATTCTAATATAGGCTCTATGTTCTCTATCATGAAAATAAGTAAAGTGCTTGGAAAATATTGTATTTAATAAATAGCTCTGTGCTCTACTTCTGAGCTATTTTTACATAAACAAAAATATATTGGTGGTTTTATTAAAAGTTAGTTGCTGTTTTAATTTTCATTTTCACATATTACCACTAATAAATATGAGCCTTGAAACTTTGCTGAACATTCAGTTCAGTAGAAACTTGGTCAAAACTATTTAAGTGAAATAACAAAATTTAATATAAGTTATTGCATTATTCTACTTTCAGCAGATAAAAATGAATATATCTCTAAATGGAAAATTAAAAAGGCTGTGAATATAGCTTAGTGATAGAGCAGTCCTGCGTCTCAAAGCTAGTATTGTAAAAAGTAAAAAATAATAATATATAGTTATATATTAAATCAAAACTAACATAAATTCTAATCAACATTAGGAGATGCATTAGTGATGCTGTAATCATTCAATATATTTCTCCTGTTGACGGAACCACGATGAGAACATTGGCGATGTTATGCAAGGCTGACCTCATACGTAGATGAAGTCGATAAAGGCTGGCCAGATACTTGCAGGCCTGTGGCTCTCTTGGAAGAAAAAAGGCCTTCCTATCCATTAAATGTTCTTTACATTGCCAACAGTTTATGTGTCTTCCAACTCCTCATTTATCTTGTTGAAGGAATAACTTTTATATGAAACCTTATAAAGATATCTTTAAAAATGCAACAATATTTTTCTTGATTCATTTTTCTTTGTATGTGAATCATTTAAAATAGCAAAATGAGCCATAATCAATAAGGTATACAAAATTAAACACATTTGATGAATTGATGCTTTCTTAAATACTGTTAAGTGAATTTATTTCCTGTCTATGTAAAACTAAAATATTTCCCTACATTTACACACACATTTCTAAATATTTGTGTGGCACCAAGTAATCTGTGTTTTTATGTTTTTCCTTATTTATTATTTAGATGATTTTATAAAACATTTAGGAAAGCTTGATTTCTTTTTTAGTCTCTTTTCATGATTTGGTTGTTTCTAGTTTGTTCCATTAAAATGGAAGCGTATAACTTAAACATTACTCTATAAGAAGACTTCCTCTGTATAGTGACATATCTTGGGATCAACAGATGATCAATAAACTCATGGGTCCCACTTTGAAAATTATCTGTGTTGTTTATTACAAGATTGGCTTTGGAGCTGATGTGCTGATATTTCAGTTCTAAAACAAATTGGAGAACTTCACAAATACCAAGAGACATTTCTATACTCTTATCAAATATTTGTCTTGCTAGATGAGTAGTTATGCTAGATAAGAATACTTGAGTTAAATAAAATGAACGCATCTTAGCCGAGATTTCAAAGGAATATAGATGAAGAGAGCTTGTAATTTACATTCCTGTGTTTGGTTCTGGGGCTTTGAAAGGGGAGACTGCATACATTAGCATCATCCTGACCTCAGTTCTCTTTCATTTCTCTTCTCCCAAATTTCTGCTTTCAGTAACTTTATTTTGTATATGAGTCATGGAAAGCTAGTGAGAGTAAAGATAGGTATTCTGTTTTTGATTAGAATTTTAAGATGAAGGAACTCATGTCCTTGTTTCATTGATATTTGGATACTACATGCAGGTTTTTGTGTAGCAATCTTTTCTGCTTGACTCTTGCATAATATTTGGAAATTGAAAGAAGAATGATGCCTCTGATGTTAGAAAATTATTTGAGCCTGTGCAACTTTCTAGGTGATTTTCCATATAATAGAAATAATGAAAATGTAGAAAACAATCAAGAAATATGTGACTAAGAAGAAAATCTTATTTTGCAACAAAACTACATGACTTTTAAGTGAACCAATCAGTAAATCAAGGAAGCATTGTTTTGGTATAGGGTTAAAAGGTTCTGGTGGATTTTATTTTCCAAAATTATAAAAGAATGATTTTAAGTTTATTGAAATTAATAGCAAAGAAATTATTTTTTCCTAAATTTTGATAATAATAACCAATGATTCAGAATGTACAGCTCATTTTTGGTTTCAGATTAATGTACACCATTCTTACAAAAGGAGAAAAAGTCTGTGTACTTAATTTTATACCTTTGGGTAACTCAAGTGACTAAGTGTTAATAGCATGAAGAAATTTAAATTTAGAATGTGAATTGACCTATTGTTTACTAACTTGCCCCCCATTTGATAAATAGGCAATATATAAAAGAGAGGGAGGAACTGAATTACCAGCTATTCTGTGCTTTACAAAACTGTTTCTGAAGGCCCTAGGGAGATTAATCTGAAAGCAGTTTACTTAAGAATTTCCACTATATTTAAATGAAAACTGATGGCATTGGATTTTACTGCTAATTGGCATCTCCAACAGAGACAATACAAATCAGAATGGGCTGAAGAGGCATATCAGAAAGAGACAACTGCCATGCTTTATATTAGTGAGAATTTTTTTTTAAACCAGAAAATATAAAGATTGCTGACATTAGTGAACATGATAGACAATACCCTCTCAAGGGCTACCTGTCTCCATTTAAACATCACATTACCTAAATACAGCCTTTTAACAATCATGCTTTTATAAATTTGGGAAATAAAAACCACCAGAACCTTTTAACACTGTACCAAAACAATGTGTCTTTGGTTTATTGCTTTACTTAAAAATCACATAGTTTTGTTAATAAATTAGATTTTCTTCTTAGACACATATTTCTTGATTGTTTTCTACATTTTCATTATTATCATCTATTATATGGAAAAGCACAAATAATTTTCTAATATTGGAGTCATGGTTTTTCTTTAAATTTCCAAATATGTAAGATTCAAACAGAAAAGATTGCTACACAAAACTTGCATGTAGTATCCAAATATCAATGAAACAATATATTTTCTTTCTTTTTAATCTTATGTCTTATAAACCTGCCATGCATAAAAATGTGGCAGTGGTAGACAGCTCCATGTGCTAAATCATTTATCATTGCCACTACTCTAGAAAGCCATGGAGAAACCGGAAAGGAGGGAAATAAAATAAACCAGGTGCATGTATTTATCGAATAACCAATGATTCATAACGTATAAAAGGTTTTTATTTTGGCCCATTGTGAGCTGATACACCAAAAAATAAAAAATTCTTTGCTTTCTTCCTCAGGAATTTATACATTTGGACTGTTTGCTACAGATATCTTTGTAAATGCTGGACAAGTCGTTACAGGAAATCTGGCTCCACATTTTCTTGCCCTGTGTAAGCCCAACTATACAGCGCTTGGGTGCCAGCAGTACACACAGTTCATCAGTGGGGAAGAGGCTTGCACGGGGAATCCAGATCTCATCATGAGAGCGAGGAAAACCTTCCCCTCCAAAGAAGCGGCTCTCAGCGTCTATGCCGCCATGTATCTGGCAGTAAGTAAGGAGTGTGCAATCCCCTGAGCATACATTTCTGATCATTCTTCTAGGCTAGAAATCCTTCCCTTGCCTTACCATAATGAAATCACTCATTAGACACCAGTAATAGCTTTCTACTGGCCTTTTAATTTACTTCTAATAATTGGTGTTTGCACTGTGAATGAAATTAAGTCACTTGACTCTCATGAGATCATGTGTGGGTAGTTAGTTATATTAACAAAAATATAGCCATTTGTATTTCTATTGTGAATATTGTTTGTCTTTGTGTTAAATAGGACTTAATGGAAACATGTTTGCTCTCTAGCACTCCCCGCGAGCTGGTAATAATGCAATTAAGAGGATTGTCTGGGCCCTTGCCTTCCTACTCAAGCTCTAGTATTCCCTTGTGGGGGTGAAAAGGGGGCACTCTGTTTATAGAAAACACTTTTATTGCTAGTAGTTGCATCATCACAACATCTCAATCAGTGTTTTAATATTTTCTCACAGTAATCAAAATATCTTTAGAAACTGTAGTTCTACTTTATTATGGATCATTTGCCATCCATTTAGTGGTAAGACTCAGGCCCCAAGGGCAGCTGGCTTAGGGCCTTTTAGGGTGAATAAGTGGTCACAACTGAGTGTGTTATATAGATCTAGGAAAGAATGAAAAGAAGAATAGGCTTGGCGGGCAGCACTTGAGCCGGGAGCCCTGTCATCAACGTGTCCTGCCTTGACCAGGATGCACCTTGCAGCTGTGGAGTTGGACTCCAGGGGCATTCCCTGTAGGCTTTGCCATAAGATCCCTAAGAAATTCAGAGAATTTAAATGCCTTTGGGGCGTTATCGTTTCTAATGGAACTAATGTCTACTTCCTTCCTTTCAATTTATTCACAAGAGAGTTGTAAAGACTCAGGCCCAATTTGAAGCCCAACTTGATTATTTCTAATGACTTGAAAGAAATCAGGATTGTCTTCACTCTCAAAATGTTACTTGATAGGGGCGGGGAGATGGCTCAGTAGAATAAGCGTTTACTTGGCAAGTGCAAGGGCCTGAGTTCAATCCCTGGTTCTAGAAAAAAAAAATGCTACTTGAGGCCAGGGAGATGGCTCAGTAGAAGGGCCTGAGTTCCATCCCTGGTTCTGCCAAAAGAATAAAAATGCTACTTGGTGATGGAAAAGTTTCAAATGAAATCACATCAGGCTCACTGAGAGCAAAGAATCTACAACGACACCCTGTGACACTGCTCCTTGAGAACAGACATAAAGGTGGAAAGATAATTTAAAACGGAAACCGTACCATTGCACACTGCCATTTCAGTGGTCAATAATTTCAAAAGCCTTAGGGTGTACATTTTAACATTTAAAAATTTTAAAGCCAGATTACTTTTATCTTCCATAGCCTGGACTCAAAACATATCCTATCAAGAAAATTTGTATGGAGTTAACGTCATCCTGTTCATTTTCTCTTCCGCTGCCTACTGAATTCTGTAGAATTTGTCTCTTACAGCTCCCTTCTCGCCTTCTCACTCTTCTAACCAACTCCATTCCTCTCATTTCTTCTGATTTCTGTAACTCATCAGCTTTGGTTTCTCCTACACATTGTCAGGTACCTGTGGGCCTGACATGAAATATGCTGACCCGTGCATTTCTTCCATATCCACTAACACTCTTGACTCCGACTTCCACTTCTGCTTAATATGAAGTCCTCAGCCTTAAAAATGAAAATTTCAGATGAGTGAGGAGTTACCCAATACTTTACATTCATTGCTGTTACTTCAAAATCTGATGTTTACATTAATATCTGTGTGTGACTTGCAAATATATTTGCATATAGATAGGTATTGAAGCACATGATGGAAGATAAATTCCAGAATGTTCCCTGACTCCAGTGACTGTTGCATAAATATTCTAGCACTGATAGATATTAGATTTTACTGTGTAACCAGCATTCTCCAGAAGGGACAAATGTTTAATCATAATGAAATAGTTACTTGGCCCTTTAGGCCACCAAAAGAATATTTCAAAGACACTGCTGTGGGAGAAGGCATTATCTGCCCAGTTACTGGAAGAACATCAATTATCTTTTCCCTGGTCTATTGACCAAGTGCTTGTATTTGTTTTAGCAATTTATGCATTATAAACCATGCTCTTCTAGTCTGTAATAAAGATTTGTGAGTATTTTTTTTTAAATTTTATTTATTTATTTATTTGAGAGAGAGAGAGAGA